TGTGAACATGAAGAACAGGAGGTGTGGACCCCGTACCTCATGTAGGTGTGCTTCCTAAGTGGATTGCTCAGCTAAGGGGGGGTCATAGATAGAAATGGGCTTGAGCCTGCGGTTCAGGGATGCAATACTCGCAAGAGGAGGAGAGGAGTTTTTCTGGGTCGATAGGGTAATCTTAAAAAAAATCATTTTTTGAATGATTGCTCTGGATGGTTTCCAGCAGGTTAATTATCCCTAATCTTTGTCCACTGGAGCATGGCAGCTTCAAGCTGGCACAGGGGGACTGAAAAGAGGGGGTGCATGGAGGAGAAGCTGCCCTAGCTGGGGTCATTCACCTGATCAAACAAAAATGGGGAAGGGAATTTCAGAAATGCCTGAACTTTGTTCCTTATGTGTTAACGAGCCATCAGGAGAGAGTAATAGTGGTTAATAAGAGGTGAAGCAGGTGCATCCCCCAGTTTGGCTGTGGCATGTACTGGAGGCAGCCTTAGTTCTTGTTTAACCACCCACCTGGGGCTGTGTCCTGCCTCCTTTGAGAGGGTTTTGTGGTGGTTCCTTTCTCCACCTCCTTCCCCTTCTGCTCTGATTCTGCTAAATCTCCCATCCCAGCAGCGCTTTTCCTCTCACTGCTGCATGAAGGAGAGGTGAGGCAGGTCTCGGGTGCCAACAATTCTCTTATTACCTTTGTGTGTTTTATTTATTTACCATAAACTGTTATAGGATGGCCATCAGCACCGCATTGGGGTGACGTTTGAAATATATGGCTCTCGGGTTTAGTGCGTCACTCGGAGCCGGGAGTCTGCACGATGTTAATTTTTATTGCCAGAAGTAGCCATAAATTGATAGTTGAGAATTGCTGTAGGGACTGTAATTAACTAGTTACTATTTCACCTCCAAAAGGAGCAATGTTTCACGCTCTTACTTTTACTTATCTGGAATCAGCTGCTGTCAACATCCGCTGAAGCCCGTATAAAGATTTATAGACCTTGGAGGTAAATATTGACTAATGGGCAGCTTGGCTTAATGTTCACCTTGAAGGACAATAAATTGTGCTATTGATTGAAGCGAGATGTCAATATCTGCATTGTTGTAAACATTTTAATAAAATTATCTCCATAAAATATTCTCTTTCTTTGGCTCACCCTGGCCACTGGGATCAGTGCCTGGAAAATGCAGCAGCACAGTGTAGAGGGCAGTGCTTCGAGATCACTGGTGGGATTTTGACCACCCAGAGACCAAACGTGTTGTGGGACCACTATTGAGGTTGTGCCTTTGGGCTGTAGAGGTGAAAATCTTGCAGCCCTGGGCAGCTGGGCTGGCTCAGCTTGATCTGAGGTGCAGGGAGTTTGTATGGACACTGGGAAGTGCTCCAAGGAAGGTTTTTCAGTGGCATCACAGGCAGCCTTCAGCCAGGGAAAGCTGTGAGGAGTGTCCTAGAGACCTGAACATGGCTGCAACAGTGAGCCAGGGGACAGTGGCATGTAATTAATTTGGGAACATGTGTTCACTTTCTGGTGAGCTATTATCTTGTCAGAGGCTCAATGGAAGCAAATGGGGAGGAGGAGTCAGAAGGGAGATGAGTCAGGATGGGAAAGCGAGGAGAAGTGATGAAAGGAGAAGGGCATGGAGGGAGGAATATGGATGCAGGAGGCATTTGCCCACACCTCATCGCATCCATGCTGTGTGGAACCCCAAGCACAGCTTGGCCATCTGTTGGGTTGCCTTGGTGCTCCGTGCCACACCAGGACCTCGCCTCTGTGGCTCCTCCACTGCCGTGATGGTTAAACTTCCCCTTCCCTGAGGCTTTTAACAGAGATCAGCATGGCAAGTCCCAAATAGTGCATGGTGGTCTGTGTGCAGCCTCCTGCTCACCAAGCACAAGGACTCAGGCTCTGCTTTTCCATCTCCCTGGCTCACACTGGGTTAGTTCATCATCCTTGGCTGATGAGCAAGGATTACACTTGTGCGTCGTCCATGGCCATTCCATTTCTAGCCTGTATTATATTATTAGTATTAATAATAATAATAATGATGGGCGCTGGCTGTGCTAGTTTTCTAGCTCCTGAGGAGATGAGAGAGCTCTCCATTAATTCCCGCAATATTTCAGCTCCTAATTGTGCTCAAGCAGAGGCAGCCTTGAAAGTTCCCACCATCAGTTCAGGCAGAGAAGGACTGGTACCTCTGGCAGGGCTCCTGGAGCTGCAGGGCTCTGGTCAAGCCTTGCCCTTAGCATTCCCAAGTTCCAGGTGCTTCCAGGATGTGGTCACACAGAGTGAAACAGCTTTACAGATCTGTTTTTTCTGCAAAGCCACTTGTATAGGAGAGGGCAAAGGAATGTTGTCTTAGTCACCTGGCGTCACCTGCTTTACCAGGGGGCAGGGACTCTTTATGTCACCTAAACATTTGAGATGCTGTAGCTGGCACTAAGGAGGCATCCCTGGGCCAGAGCCTCTTGCAGGGATGGTATCCCTAATGCTATTTTCATCTGAGCAGGACTTACATCAGGTTGTGCACAGGACAGAAACTGGAGTCATCTCCAGCTCAGAGCATCCTGTCTCAGTCCGGGACAGGCTCTGTTTGGCTGTAGCCAAATTCCCAGATGCCAGACCCTGAGTCCCTGAACTTCAAGCTCTGCCTCTCCATCAGCTGATTACTGTGCACATATCTCAGACTTCAGTGCAACACAGGTACGGAGGACACCTTCATCCCCCAATTTTCTGAGCTTTTGCAGGTGGAAATCTGACCCTCGCAGTTACTGTAATGAAGTCTTTTGCTGGGGAACAAAATGCGCTCGAGTGCTTTGCTCCCTGATGAAACCAGGCACACAAATTATGGCTTGACTATGGCAAGTGCTAATTCTTGCTGTGTGTGAGCCGACTCTGGAACTTGGGAAAGGGCCTTTGGTAAGTTGGGAAGCAGTGTTATCTGAGCCTTTGCACAACCCAGAGTCAGATTTGTGCACAGAGCATCTGAAGGCCACCGGCTGTGTCCTTACTTTATCAGCAGGCAGCGCTGTGCTACAGAGAAGCTGATTCTAGGTCAGCCACAAAAAGGAATTTTTTTTCCCCTCTCTGCTTTTTTTTTTTTGCAGTGCCGCAGGGCCACTGGATGTAAAGCTGTAATTTTTGTGTCTCTAAAGGATATTGATTTTGGGGTAACGCCTTCATATCTCACCCTTCAGTTGCACTAAGTACTGATGAGCTCAGCGGTTTGCACCACCAGCCACTCGGGTGGGAATTTCAGCACAGGGCTGAGGACACTGGAGAATGTCAGCAATTCATCAACAGGAAAACTCACTTCACTCCTTTGTAATGCTCACAGGGCTGCCTTCCCAGTTAGGTCAGCCTGGAAAGGTGGGATGTATGTGTTCATGCAAGGGGTCCTCAGTTCAGGGTGCAGTGAACGTGCAAAGTCCTGGGGATGCTGTGTGGAGGTGGCAGCTGCAAGGTCTGGTGCAGGGAGAGAGAGCCAAGGTGGGATTCCATCACAGCTGAGCATATTTGCACTAGTTTGAGATGACAATAGTGGCACCTGGGACTGCAGCAGCAGGATCCTGGCAGGTGCCTGGGGTACTCACAGTGCTGAGCTGTTCCAGGGCATTACAGGAACACCATCAGTGCTGCTCGGGTCTTTCCGTGGTGGGTGGTGGAGTCTGACCACACTACTCCTGCAGTGTGGGAAGAGATGCCATAAAAGCATCAGCCGGTGGGATGCAGCGGTGTGTGCCCGGCTGGGAGCCTCCCACATGTGGATTTTGCATGCATTTGTTAGGAGCAGGATACACACGGTTGACCGGTCAAGCACGGTGAGTTGTGGCCATCAGGTCACACCAGCACAGACAGCGGTATCCGGGTGGGACGTGAGGGCTGGCCGAGCTCATGGCATCCCCCTGGGGACCAGGGACCTGTGCTTGGCCTCTCTGCCATTGGCACTCACTCCCAGAAACAGCTGTCCAGAGCTAATTTATTTCCTAATGCTGCAGCAATGTTAATTTATAAATTACACTGGTAATTCGAGCTATTATTAATTTCAGATGGTGTAGGGCAAGCCTAATTAAAATATGACACCAATTGCCACACATATGTACCAAGGACTACCGTTTAAAATTTATAGGAATATTAAGTGTGACACAGGGCTTGGAGATGTTCCGTGCGGTAATTACAGCATCCTGGCTGCAGGAGATCCAGTGGGGAGATGTAAACAACAGGAAAGGGAGAAGTTGTCCCTGTTTTGGGACTGCAAAAAGTAATTTTTGCTGCTTGTTTGGGGGAAGAACCTGGGGAGTCTTGTGCCCCAACCTAATCCCGGCCAGCCAAGCACTGTATTTTTTCCAGGAGTGTGTCAAAATAAAGAGAGCTCCTGCAAGGAATGGGGGCTGAAAGATGCCAGAATGAAGAAAATGCCATTTATTGCATCTTTCCAGCTTTGAACAAGAACAAGAAACAGCTTTGAACAGGAACAAGAAGCTGCACGGCAGCCTGGATGGGGAAGAGGGGAATAAGTGCAGCCCACCCAGAAACGAGCCTGGGATGGCACAGGGATGAGGTGTTTCAGCTAAAGGGAGGTGTTGGCACCACCACTAATGGGAATAGACTTGCTGTGAATTAATTGAAGCTGAAAAATTAGAGAAGAGTGTTTATGTGAGCTGAGTTAGCCTGGAGGTATCTCCCAGCATGGGGGATGTGCAGAGGTTTGCTCAGGTCATTTTGCAGGGGGCAGGTTTGCCCACTTTGCCCACCCTGAGCACCTCAAGGACATTATCTCCAGCAAGTGATGCTCTCAGTGAGGCCAGAGCTGCTGGAGCAGTCCGGTGTTTGCAGAAATCTTTCTGGCAATGATTTTCTTGGAATGGAGGGGCACAGGCACAAGGACATTCTGGGCTGGGACCAGCAGGCTGGGTGTCCTATTGCAGAGTGACATCACCATCAGTCACAGATGGTGACCAGCCAGTGGGCAGGGGTTTGTTGTGCCTCCCCATCACTCAGGGCTCTCTGCCTCTGCAGCTGTGGGCTTCATCAGCGAGGATGAGTACCTGGAGATCACGGGAATCACACGGGAGCAGTCGGGAGAGTACGAGTGCAGCGCCTCCAACGATGTCTCAGCGCCCGTCGTCCAGCGAGTCAAAGTCACCGTCAACTGTGAGTCCCTGGGGCCATCAGGGGACAGGGATGGGGCTGGAGAGGGTCACCATGCTGCCCCACAAGGGAGTGGCTCTTGGAAGTGAGGCACACAAAGGCCCCAGAGCAAGACAGGCGGCAGCAGTTTTTCTGAGCAGGTGGTGTTTTGCCCTATTTTCCTCTTCTTTTCGAGCTCCATTTTTTTCCACCACCTCCTCCTCAGCTGTCTCCATCAACCTGGGTTTTCTGCCCATGGAGAGATGCTGTGCTGATAACCTCTGAGGAGAGGAGAGAAGTGAGCAGTAAATAGAACGGTGTTTTTTTTTTTTTCTCTATTAGAAAAAATGAGAGGAAGAAAGCAGTATATTTCATGTGTAGACATACGCAAAGACCTTCCTAAATCCCTCTCTGGTCACTCCATTAGCTGAACATGTAACAGCTATGAGTTGGGGGTCTGTTGTTTTTGGAAGAGAACCCCATGAACCTGGAAACCTCTGTATAGCAGCACCAGAGTGGCAGGACCTGAGCTCAGAAATGGGCTCAAAGATGATTTTGCCTCCTACCCATGTGCAGGGAGAGAAAGGAAATCTTGAGGAGCAAGGGGAAGGGATAGTGTCGTAGTTGTTGTTTGTTTTTGTGTTGTTTGCTTTATTATGCATACTAGTAAAGACCTGTAATTCCTATTCCCGTATCTTTGCCAGAGAGCCCCTTACTTTCACAATTCTAATAATTCAGAGGGAGGGAGGGAGGGAGTTTACATTCTCCTTTCCAAGGGAGGCATTTTCTGCCTTCCCTAGCAAACACATGTCTTGTAAACCAAGACAGATAGGAGTCCCAAAGGCTGCTGGTGTTCACCCCAGGTTTCTCCTCTTCCCGCAGACCCGCCGTACATCTCGGATGCGAAGAGCACTGGGGTGCCGGTGGGGCAGAAGGGCATCCTGCTGTGTGAGGCCTCTGCCGTCCCCTCCGCCGACTTCCAGTGGTACAAAGATGACAAGCGGTAAGAGCCTGGGGGGCATGACAAGGGGGAAGAGACCAACCCCTCGTGGGCTGCACACAGTGCCAGCAGCTTCAGCTCATAACCCATGGCACAAGTCTGGTTTGGACACTGAGGCAGGTTCCCCTGATAGCAGCAGATTGTGCTTGTCTGGGGCAAATGCAGGCATTTCATCAAGCAGCCAGCATCCACAGCTGGAGCTGCCACCACCCAGGATCTATTAAAGGCTTTTTATTTAACTCATCAAATTTGTGGAGAAGGATTTTCCCAGCAACCTCTTTCAGCCCCCTTTGGGGGAGGATTGTTGCTGCCCATGCCTTTGTTTGAAGGTGTTGTGGTAAATCCCTGCTTGGGTGAAGCATAAGATCCAAAATGGATATTGGCAGCACAAATCCAGGCACTTAAGAGTGGATGAAATCTCTGTCATCTCTTTAAATGCTTTGGCCAGAAGGCAGCTCTTGGAAAAGCAAAAGGAATGTGGTGTCAGTCAAGAGATGGGGTTTGCTATGCCCCAGAGACAGCCTGCCCTGCTTTGGGGTGCAAGTGGACCTTTTAGATCAACCTGAAACTTCTGTATCCTTCCAAAGCACAGGGACATGGCTGGGGAATGAGGAGTGGAGCAGCGCAGCCTGGAGTAGGTCCCATTCTGAAGAAATTGCCTCTCTCTGACCCCAGGCAAAGTGGTTTTAACCAATTTTTGTGTTGATTAGGCCAGGGGGGCCATGGTGTGGCCAAGCACAGGACAAGCCACACTGGTCACTGATACGGAGGGATATTTTGGCCAAAAAAGATGCTCCAGAAGCTGGAGAGAATCTGGTCTGCCTGCCTCACCCAGTTGGAGAGGAAAGGAGCAGAAGAATGTACAAAGCTGCGGATGTTTGTGTGGCAGATGAAAGGCTCCGCTCAGAACTAGGTCAGATCACGAGGGCCTGCGGAGCAGCGGCAGGAGCGGGCTCAGCCCCCCTGATCAGCACCCAGCATGGATCATAATGGGAATCCAGCACTTCCCGTGAGGAATTAGCAAGCAAGAGCTGCAGGAGCTAAGCAGGACAGGGACACCAGTACAGGGAAGCCCAAGCACTTGGTTAATGCTTCAGCATTTGTGCTGGCTGAGAAGCCTCACTGCTGTGGTGGGTGCCTACTGCAGCACTCATCGGGGACACACAGGAATGAGAGAAGAGGAAGGTCATGGAAGGCATTCTGCAGAGCAGAGAGGACTGAGGACATGAGAGGGAAATCAGGCTCTTCTGTAGGGTGGGAATGAGCCTTTCCCAGGCACAATAGCATCCCTCTCTCTGCACAGCATTTGGCAAGTCCCAGCACCATCCCATGACCCTGCAGCAGTGAGGATGCCTCTGGCATGGGCTGGCAGCTGGAGACCCAGCAGAGCAGCATCCATCTCCCTTACCTTTCACAATACCTTCCCCTCTCCCTCTTCTCCAAAGCTCCATGTCCCCATTCACATGCACAACCAGAGGATAACTGGGCATGGAAAATAGCGAGCACTTCCCTTCCTGATGCCACCCCCGTGACCTCCCTTTCCTCTTTTCTCCCAGACTGGCTGAAGGACAGAAAGGGCTGAAAGTGGAGAACAAAGCCTTCTTCTCCAGACTGACTTTCTTCAATGTCTCTGAGCAGGACTACGGCAACTACACCTGTGTAGCCTCCAACCAGCTAGGGAACACCAATGCCAGCATGATCCTCTACGGTGAGTAGGGCTGAGGGAATCAGCCAGGAAGGGGGAATGGCTTCACAGTGACACCACCAATGGCAGAGACATGGGAAGGGTCGCCCATGTCTTTTGGGGGAGATGTGTATTTGCTGCTGGTCCTTTCTGCCCTTGACATGTGGGCTGGAGCTTGTGGTGAGTCCTTGGGAAGGGGAGAACCTCCAAAGCTGCCTCCTGATTCAGGTCCAGTGTCTCCCACCATTCAGATGTGTTTGGCACTGTGTTTGGGACCTGCCATGAATGCAAAATTAGGAGCTGGCTGCAGGTTTCCATCTTCTTGCTCTGATGAGTACCTAGGAGAGCCTCTGTGTGAAGGCATCCCCCTGTGTGGATGGGTGGGAGGAGAGATGCTGCTCAGCGTCATTGCTGCCCCATTCCTACGTGAGAACAAACAGGTTCCCTGCTCCATCACCTTCCAGGTCATGTTTTCTGCTCCCACCAAGCAGCTATATCCTTATTGTAGGTGCCAAGGGCGATGGGAACGTGTAGAGGGCAGGAAGGAGGAGAAGATTTGTACCCTGGTCCCAGGGCTGTTTCCCCTGCATGCTGGAGCTGGGATGAGAGCAATGCTGATGCTGCTCATAGGTGGGAAGGGCTGTGATTGATTGACACATTTGTCAAACCTCTTAAGGTGGCACCAAAACCAGAGCAGGGGCTGTGCTCTTCAGGAGTCAGAAATGGATGACAGATCTCATCCCTGGGCACTGCTTGGGGATATTTCCCTGCTGGGCTATGGGGTGTGTGGTTCTTGCAGCTGAACCATACAGGAGAAGTGAGGACTGGGGACCTCCAACCTCTCCCCGACATTGTCCTCCTCCTTGCCACCCAGTTGTGCCTGGTAATCTCCTTGTCTCTTGTTATTGTATGGTCAGAGAGAGCAGAGCAGAGTGACAGATGAGCCTTCCTCGTCCCCACGTCCCGCAGGGCATTCTGTGCCCTGGCCATACAAAGCATACAAAGCTCCTGGGATATGGAGCAGTCCCACAGTATGTTCTGGGTTCTGGAGTGTGCTGGGGAAGTGGGAGGCATCTGGAGACCCTGGGAAGTGCTGTCCATGTCTTGGGGAGGGGCTGGATGGATTCCAAGGGAGAAGTCTGTTTAAGGACAGTAGGGGATGTCAGGCTTTTCCAGGGTCCATACCACAGCTGTGGCGTCAGGGTGGCATCACAGGACAGGCTTATCCTCCCCTGCCACTGGTACTGGCAGCTGTTCCAGGTTCCCCTGATCTGTTACAGAGGAGTTCATCCCATCTTGGAAGCTCAGACCCATTTGCTCCCCCAGTAAAGTCCAAGCTGTATGTGATGAAGGGTCACCTGTGCTAAGCCATCATTACTGTTGCTTAGGAACTATCTCAGTTCTCTTCCCTACCAGCCTTCCTGGTAATCCAGTAACCCCATGTTTTAGGGATACCGATACCTCTGGCACTGCAAAGCCACCCAGGCCTGGCTCTGCCTGTGCTGCAGGCATAGGGTGGCTGTGCCGAGTGCCCAGCATAGCCCGAGCCACATTCTTAGCTGTGATGTTGCAGCCTTCCAATGTATTTATGGGGTTAAATTCTTGATTAGTGGGAGCCTTCAGTTTGGCATCTGCAGATCCAGGCTGGATGAACAGCCTAAAAGTAAAGATGACATCTCCCTGCTGAAGAGCTCTTGGTTCCTTGGGTTCTAACCTATCTGTGGGATTCATGCTGTGAAGGCAGTGTCAGGTGGGAGACAGGGAAGCATCCCACAGAAGTCTTAAATTTATTTTATAGCTTTGAGGTCTGACTGTGAAAGCTGTCAGGGAGTGAAATCAGAGTCCTTTGACCACTCATAATTTCCATAAAGGCTGCATTGATTGAATTATCCATTCAGTCTTTAATAATTGAGTCCCCTTGGGAGGTGACAGTTTCCTGAGGAGACTGTGACATGTGGGGGTCCCTCATCTCCTGGTGCAGGGCTCCCCCATCTCCTAAACCACTACTCATCTCCACCCCCAGGAACAACCCCTCCCCAAGTACCAGGAATGTGATGGCCCCAGGCATCATAGGGCCAAGCTCAGCCATCCCTAAGCAACCAGTGTTTTCAATCTGGGGATTAATGTGTCTTTATTTATCAACCCATTTATTTATTTAATGCAAGATAAGAGGGAAGTGGATGCTGTGGCTGCACTGCCTGTGCATGAGAAATGTCTCTTCTGTGAGGTTTTGGGGGACAATTTTGTGAGTGGCCCCTTTTCCCTGAAGCTGAATGTTTTGGAGTTTTCCCCCCACACATGAAGTTGAAATCTGTGCAGGTACTGTGACATGAGCCTTTTTGGGGTTGTGAGAGAGGCTAATGTACCGTTCATCTTCTAATCCTTTTTTTAATCTAATTTTTCATGGAGGTCAACTAGTGCTTTATTTAACATGTAGCACTCATTATTCCAGACCTGCCGTCTCATTCAGCGGCTCATTTGGTGCTGTCTGGGATGTGATAGAGTGCTCAGGGAAACCACATCATTCTGTGGAGTTGGGGAAAAAACCAACCCTCTGCTTCTCACCCATCACACAGTCCATGTTGCTCCCAGAGGCGGCTGTCAGGCCATAAATCTTTTTGGGATGTTGCAGGATTAGCAAGAGGGATGGGCCCTGAAGTCACAGGGGAGAGCTGAACCTCCTGTATCCCCATATCCCAGCCCCTGTGCTTTGCCTTTTGCAGAGGGTGCAACTACAGGCTTTGCCAGGTCTAAGGTCCCACATTCATCTCATCTCAGAGATGAGAGGACCATGGCCCCACCCCATGACAGTGGGGTGTGATTTGGGAAACAGATCCCATTTCTACCCCATCCGCTGGTTTTCCCACCCCAGGTCGAGGGCAGGCTGAGGGAGGTGTCTCGAGCCTGCGCTTTCCATTGCCCTTTTGCCTTAACTGTCACTTGTTCTTTAATTTTTAGAAGAGACAACTACCGCTCTGACACCCTGGAAAGGTCAGTAATTTGGGGGTCCCCTACAATGCCAGTGCTTCCCCTGCTGTTCCCCTTGGGCCCCTCTGGCTCCCACCACAGCTCATCTCAGTGGGAGCTGCAGCACCCACCACCTGGATCTCCTGCCCCACAACCCCACTGCTTTCACTGGTGTAGGGATGAATTAGGGCTTTCTTAGCCACCCTCCCATCCTGTCCCCTCCCAGCCAGCCTACTGTGCCTGTCTGGTGATGGTCTGTGCCCTCTGCATGCCTGTCCCCATCCCATGGTGTCCGGCTCCCTTCCCACTGCCAGAGCAAAGCAGGGATGTCTTTGGGCTGCTTTCCCAGTGCTACTGTGTAAGTGGGCCTTTTGGCAGGTCCTTCCTCCTCTGGGATGCTTCTAGTGGATTTTTTATGGGATGAGATAGGGGTGGACAGGCATTTGGTCCCCCTCCTGGTGTTTTTCCTGGCCAGGACATCCACCTCTCTGCTGTGCAATCTTACCATCTGGCCAGCTGGCTTGGTGTCATCTTGATTTTGGAGTGGCTTCATTTGTGATGAGTCGAGTGGTCAGTCCTGGGATGACTTGTAGATGTCTGTCTCGGAGATAGTGTGTGAGACCTGGATATCTGAGGTGTGAGGTGTCTGAATGTGCTGGAGAGTGTTACTGATGGGAACCCAGATGGTTACTGATGCTCAGTGCCCCAGTCGGATTTTGAAGTGAGGGGACATGTCCTGGGGTTTCAAAAGCAGTTGTGAATCAGACCTTGTGGTCAGCCCTGCTTCCAAAGGACATGAGCATGGATGCCTTCCTGAGGTCTTTTTCCACCTTAGTCTTCTCCTGGGCCAACTATTTGGTGAAAAAATTGGTGTTTTGGTGAAAGCCATTGGCTGAGACACCCTTCACATCCTTTCCCACAGTGAGCTTTGAACTCCTCACTTCTTGTGGTCCCCAAAGACAGGTGGGCTTGGCTCTTCTTGACCACCCTCCTCATCCCATCTCTTTGAGGTGGTCTGGGCCCATACTGAGCCCCACAGAGACACTGAAGAGGTGCAAAACACCAAGTCCTCAATGTAGTGCTGCTGGCAGTGTCTCTGCAAGGTGGGCAGGTGGTTACTGTCCCTCCCAAGGGACACTAGAGGGCAACAGGGTGGTTGCCCTGGGGCGAGCAGAATGTGCTGGGCAAAAACTGTCATCTCCCCTACCAGTGTGACTGGAAAACTGGGACCACTTTGGAGGAGGGTGAAGGGGGCTGGGGGAGGTCGGATGGTGGTGATGCACACAAAGTGGGCTTGGGATGGGGACTTCAGGATGAAAAGGGACCGCAGAGGATCTTGTCCCAAAAATCAGCATTTGTGGGGACAGGGATGGCTGTTCCTATGTTCTTGAGATGGCACAGATTGAGGGGGACACCCAGAGAACTCTCAGCGCAATCCCACCACGTGCAACACCACCGGGGCCCCAAATAGCGTGATTTATTTTGGTTTTAATCTTTATTTCATGGTTTCTGCTATTTGTTGACTTCGTGACCAACCACACGGGCGTTCGTGTCCCTTCCCACAGGCCCTGGCGCAGTGCACGACGGGAACAACGGTGCGTGGCGGCGAAGCGGCTGCGCGTGGCTGCTGCTCCTCCCGCTTGCCCACCTCGCCCGCCAGTTTTGACCCAAGAGCCGGCCCGCGGAGTAGCGGCAGTGACGACCACGGCCAGCGAGCGCAAGCAGAAAGGAGAGGAAGAAAAGAAGAAGAAGTGTTCACCGTTTCCGAAAATAATCATAAGAATTGAGAGAGTATCCGGCCAGGCCACCTGGGGGAGGGGGAGAGAGGAAAAACATGCAAAAAAAAAAAAAAAAAAAACCACTACGGGAATTTGGAATGGAGAGACAAAGGAAAAAATTAATAATCCAAGGCTTCCTGCTGAAGATGCAATGCGACTGAGTCTTTTTCTTTTTGCCCTTTATTTTTTTTTTTGTCCCCTACCACTTTTTCCCCCTATTTTCGTTGTTCTCTGCCACGGGCCAGCGTGGAGGATGGACGGGGCCATCGGAGTGTGGCACTTGTCCCCTGCCCTGTCCTCTTCACTGCCGCCACCCGCCTGCTCCCTCCCGTGGGACCCTCCATCCAGACACACCGGTTTTCTCCTTTGCCAAGAGTTCCCCGTCTTCTCATGGACTGTGCTGCCATTTGTGTTTCAGAATATATATACATATATATATATATATCTCCATGTATACATATATATATGTATAGATATATAGATCTTCAACAGTTACCACACCACCACGAAAGGAAAGGGAGGAAGGAGACCGGCGTCGAGCCACATTTTCATCGTACCATCTGTGGACATCGTGAATGATAAGGGATTCTGAGTCATGGTTAATTTTATTAATTGTATTTTCTGATATGAGCCTAGAACTCTTAGTTCCTAAAAAACAGAAATGCAAAAAAAAAAAAAGAGGGGGAAAAAAAGAAAAAAAAAAAGAGGAAAAAAAAAACAATCTAGGAGAGGGGGAGCAAGCGGAGAGAAGTTTGTTTGCCGAGGAGAAGACCAGCCAAGGAGGTTTGTGAGCCCAGCGAGGAGGATGAGGAGGAGTCCTGTGCTGAAACACCCCCAAAACCGGCCCAAAAGCGGTCGTCTGGACAGTTCCTGCCGAGGGCACAGACGACACTCGCCGCGCGTTGAGGTGGAGGGAGATACTGAATCTTTTTATGGGATATATATATACAGTATATATAAATATACATATATATATATATATAATTTTCTTTTTTGTTAGAGTTCTAGCCACAGTTCCCAGCAGGGTCCTTCCGCTGCCATTACTGCATGCTGTATATGGAGTTAGGTGTGTATCGGTTCTCAACGAGACAAGCATCTCGGTCCACACATCCCTGAACCCCCTCGCCTTTCCACCCTCGGGTCACCGGGGACAAAGGGTCATGGGGGACCAAGGCCCCTCTCTGTCACTTTTTGCCGCATGGCCCTGGCCTTTTCGCGGTGGAATAAAGCGAGCCGAGGGACAGAGGGAGATCTATATAGCTCAGTTTTATATTTTTATATATATATATATATATATATATATATATGTGTATGTATATGTGTGTGTGCGTGTGTGCGTGTGTGTGTATATATATATATATATATATATATAAAACAACACAAAAGAAATAAGAAAAAGAAGACGAAGCAACTGGCCCCTGCCGAGGCAAAGGACCTGTTGCCTCGCCATCCATCTGAGTGGGGGTTTCTCCTGCAATTGGTTTTCCTCCTTCAATTTCCTTTCCTTCCCTGCGGCCGGCGGCGGGGGGCACGCGGGGGGCCCGGGTGCGGGCAGGCAGGCGGCGAGGGGGCTCTCTCTGCCTATCCATTAAAACGATTGTTCCATGTGGCCGCTCCGTCTGGTTGTGGTGCTCATTGGTGCGGGGGCCAGGGCCACTCCCCTTGCGCCACCAGGAATGGGGAGGGATGTGGGGAGGGATGCTGGATGGGGAGTGGCAGATGGGAGCACCAAGTCATCACAATGGGCCAGGAGAGCATTGGAAAGATGGCCCCTGGATTTCACGGATGAGCCCAGCAGGAATGCTGTCACAGGTAAGGCTTTGGTGAGTAGATGGAGACAGTGTGAGGCACAGCTGTGCCCAATTTTCCTGCTCAGGACCCCACTCAGTGCCCCCAAGCTCTGGTGTGGCTCTCTAGCCCAGCTGCACAGCATTGCTGGGGATGCTTGTGGAACAGCTGAAGTGAATCCTGTGTGGGAAGGAGGGACAGAGTGATGAGAGGTGGGTGCAGAAAACAGGGTCTCTCATGCAGTACTGCATACAGGCAAAGCATAGCAGGATTGTTTGGGTGTAGGTGCATTTTGCTGTCCATGGAGCCTTGTCTCAGTCAGTGTCTTGTTTTCTGGTGATCCTGGAAGGTTGCTTAGTGAGTTTGGTCCTCAGCCTCAACTGTAGCCTCCAGGGTGCCGGTTTCTCCATGTCACCTGACACATTTACAGGATCAGAAGTTGGTTGCTGTTGATGGTGTGACAGTTTTGTGTGAGCATTTTTTATTTTCTGACCCTATAATGTAACTCAAGAGATGAGCATGGAGAAGAAGGATGGGAAGGTGTTGCTGTGAGGTGTGACATGCAGTGTCCAAGTGGGGTAAGGGAAGAACCATGCTCAGGCTTTGTGGCACATCCCAAGTAAGGGACAGGGCACTGAGGGTGAGGGGACTGGACAGCTGGGCACAGGTAGCAGAGTGAGGATGGCAGAGATGATGGTGTTGGTCTTTATGCAGCTCCTGCAACTCCCAGGTTGGACTAGCCAGCCACAGTAGAGCAAACCTGGTAGGAGGGGCAATGCCCAGATGCTTGGGGGTAATGGGGAGGGATCCAGGGATAGGTATGGAGGTAACAGGGCTCTCTCCCTCACCTCCTCTCTGTAATTGTAACTTTTTTGGTGTTCTAGGTGAGAGATCAAGGAGTGCCAGGAGTCCAGTGCCAAAGTAGCAGACAAAGAGGAAGTTAAAGAGAGAGAGGCGGTTTGATGGATGCGTTTACGTAATAATTTATTGACATAGGTAAGGGTGTCTCTTGGTGCTGGGGAGGGATGGAGGTCACATTCTGAAATATGCCCTCCCTCCCCCTGGATGTAGCAGCTGAGGTCCATGTCCTTAGGCACAAGTTGGGAATTGCTGGGGGCCATGGAGAAACATCCCTCTCAAGCCAGGAAAGGGAGATGGAGGGTATCAAATGGGCAGAGAGGGGCTACATTGCCTCCCCATGCTCTGTAATGGGGACAATGCAGACGAGGCATCAGGATGTGTCATGAGCAGGAGTGTTTGGGCATCTGTAGGTATTCACTCCAGTGGAGGCAGGTCCAGCACTGGGTATCAGGCAGAACTGGCATGGGAAGATGGTAAGCATTAGGGAAGCTCAGATTGTGGTGGGATCCCCAGGGACCACATGCAAGGGACGAGTATTGCTTTGTGGCACCTGTAGTTACATCAAATCAGCCCTGGCTCCCTGATGGGCTGGGGTTTTTGGAACAGTCTCAAAGCAGAGAGTCTCCCATGGAGGTCACCAATGCTTGATTCACTGCAGGTGACATTGAGGAAAGTGGGCAAGGTGACACATCCCTCCCAGATCCCTTCCCTCAGGAGGTTGTTGAGTTTTGGGAAGCACTTACCTGTCTGCTGGGGTCACTTGAGGGGGACAGCAGAGGTGTTCCTGATGTGCAAGGTCACAGCAGCTCATAGCAGTGCTGGGATGGAGCTGTTTGCTTGTGGCGTTCAGGGAAAACTCTTGGGACTGGGCTTTTCATTCCCACGTTGGGGAAGATGAAGGGAGGTCTCAAAGTGAGCAAGATTCTGATGGCTCTGTCACAGTCCCACTGCCCCCAGCCTCCAGGTAGCAGGTCTCACACTAGAAGAACTTGTTGAATCTTTTCTCCTGGTTGATGGTGTGGAAAGGTGAGGCATCCCCTGGGAGTGATGGGCACACCCTGCTGAGATTACAACCATGTCAGGGAGACACTGAGGGTCACAGGTCTTCTGTTCCTGGTCCTCATGGTTTTTGTCCTTTGACAAAGACGTTTGGTCTCTGTCACACACTGCCAGATCACGACAGGAGCAAACCTTGGGAGCGCATTGTCTGCAGAGGCATTCCTTCATGGGGGCAGGTTTAGTTGTCAGAGTGAGCATTGTTGCAAGATGACGGAGGAGATGCTGGGAATGTCTCAGTCTTGGAAAAGTGGCCCCCAGTCATGCTGCTTCCACAGAAGGTAGGTGAGTGATAAGAACTAAGACAGTCCTTACCCTGCAGGGCCTCCGTCAGCAGGTGTGTGCTCATTGCTCATCAGCAGACACACGTGGGCAGGAGCTGAGACTCACTGGTGGATTCCCAGGGGACATGCATGGATGGGGTGAAGGGTGGCCCAAACAGCAGCAGGCCCCCAGCTGTGGGGCTTCAAGCATCACTGTCACAGGGGACGATCAAAAGAGGGTCCAGCCAAATGCTGGGTGGGACCCCAGGAGTGGCAGAGGTCGCAGGCACTCAGGAGCCCTCCCAGCTCAGCTCAGCAGGCGCCCAGCACTGCATCCCTTCCCTGGGGTGTGCGGGACCCGTGAAGCAAAGCCCCGAAGGTACAAAGTTCGTCAAACTTTATTGATACACTGCACAATCACAACCATCTCTTATTCTTGCCGAATTAGAAAAGGTTACAACTACAATGTAACATGCACAAATCTCAGGTAGTATAGCCACCCTTGGAATACAATGATCGACAGAAACTCAAGACCGGCCATCACGGCCGTCAGCTGGAGAGACCCAAGAGCCACACTGCCCCCGCCCCGGGCACCCGGCCACCCCCCGGGCATCCAAACATGAAGAGCAGTGGTCGCAAATGGGTCTGCCACCCGGCAGAGCCGCAGCGGGGCCGGCCTCAGACAGCCAACACGTTCCTCACAATGGCACGTTACATGGCACGAGAAAGTCGAATGCCGTCCCGGCAGGGTACAGGGGAGCCCACCCAACCCAGGGACAAGGATAGGATGGGGGCAGCCCTGGCACCAGGCCCGCCAGCCTCAGTGTGTGTCGTGGCATCTCGTCGCCGCCACTCTGATTTGCCGTGGCCTCCTGCCCTGTGACTCTGCAGCATTTCTGCTGTGGGGACAGAGAAGTTTGGGGCTGACCAAGGAAAGGGCACGGGGTGGCAGTGGGGGGTGGTTGTGGGGCAGTGCGGACCAGTAAAGGCATCGGGGCAAGGTGTCTCCATCACCCAGGGTATTTTGGAGTGAGCATGTGGGGAAGGATGTGCGTGTTGCTGTGCTGGCTGAAGACAGTGCCATCCCCACATGATAAACATGCCCGGGGCCATGGGATAGGACCCAGATCGCTGACAGTGCCACCTTTCTTGGATGCCAGCGGAGAAGCAGAGCAGCACCGCAGGGACCGCAGGACGCGGACTCACCCAGTCAGTACCGGATCCCCATCCACCAGGTAAGCCAGCACCTCAGGCCAGCACTGGGGCAGCCCCTGCCTGGGACCAGGCGGTTTTTGTCAATCAGCCATGGTACATGTTGAACATCCAGGATGGGCGGGCAGGAGCATCCACTGAGATTTTGTAGCAGGTCCTGGGCAGCCCACTGAGAACAGGGATGAGGATGGGCACAGCTGCATATAGGACACAGTGGTGGCCCATCATGGCCTCTGCCTCAGGGTGGTTTTTCCATCTTGTGTGCTGAGGGCTGGCACCCCAGCTTCCTTGCAGCCACGAAAGCAGATTTGGGCAGCAGCGGAGTTTGCAGGGGGAAGACAGCGTGTGCGTGGCCGTTGTTCTTAAGTCATCTCACTTGTGGAGGGAGAAGGAAGGGACAAGGCACGGGGAGGTGCTGGGTGAGGACAGGGGACACTCTGTGTGCTTGCTCAGTGCCTTGCTGTAGTAGAGTCTCCCTGTTGCAGCAATAGGGTCCGGTGCCACATGTGACTTTTCAGGAGCAGGATGGGAGTGTCCATCCCCCGACTGTGGCACCAAAGCATTCCTGGGTGGCCATGGAGTGACAAGAAGGCTCAGGGCTGCCACAATGTACCAGGCAAGGGGGTCCATGGTGCACGAGGCTATCAGGAGCACAATTCCATATGTGGGGAGATGACATGGCTACTGCCACTGTGGGTGGCAGGTCCCAGGGTGGCTAGAAGAAGCAGAGAGGGCAGAGTCTGGGTGTGTCTATTTTGGTGTCACAGGCAAGATGCAGCAGGGAGCATTGGAGCCATCCTTGCCCCTGCTGTGCCAGCACAGCAAATTGACAGAGCCCAGGCCTCCTCCACAGGGTCAGACACATCAGACTTTCCTCAGGCAGGACACTTGATGGGAGTGAAACCAGGCAGAGTGAGAACATTGCAGCTCAGGGCCCCATGAGGGGCAGAGATACAGACGGTCATGAACGTCAGAGCTGTAGCAAAAGGGCCTTGTCAGCTGGTGTTTCGATCTGTTGTTCAGAGCCTCTGCCCCTCGCTGGTGATGCTGTGCTTTTGATATGCAGGTTGGAAAGTGCTTG